TTATTTATCTTTTTGTATATGAAATACCACGAATGCGATCATAAAATTAAGATACCTTCATTCTCTCATGGTTAGTGAGCTAGCAGTTAAAATGTATTATTAATGAATTTTGCAACCGCCAACTAAAATTTGTATAATAAATAGGAAAATTTGTATACCGGGAAGTAAATAAAGCGTATGTTATGTGCAATCGATCTCTTGCATTTTCGATTATTTTCATCCCCCCATTTTTTTTTTTTTTTTTATAATTTTCAATTACGACATTTTTTTTTATTATCCGACAAGCGATGCACAAGTACAGCTTCATGCTAATTTAGAATTTTAAACGTGATCCAATTTGCAAGCTTAAAGGGTTTATTGTATTGTATATTATGTGCGCTTGGATATCCTCATAATAAATATATTATGATATTGCGATGCGATGGAAAGTGCAATGCAATGACTTGATTATTTGCGGCTATATTTACTTTTCCATTCCGTACGTAACGTTGAAATTTTCGAAAGCATTCTAATCGAATTCTAATTGGTATGTGTACTCAAAGCGACGTCTTTGATTTCATTTCATTTTTTTTTAAGTTTAGTCGCGGCAGACAGTCAAAGGAGCGCAAGAAATCAGTCGAACATTTTAATGATCATTGGAATTTATTAATATCGAATCATTCTCGGAAACTAGTTACTCCTGCAGTCAATTTGTAGAAAAACTAATTTCAATCTTAAGGCAAAACCATCAATTTTTTGGAAAAAGAAAATTTAGTAAAAACACATAGAGCATAAGATCTTTTATAATAATTTTATACAGGAATTGGCATAGCGTTCAGTCCTTATCAATACTATTTTACCAAGAAAAGAAAGAAATTCTTCAAAATGATCTACAGTGCTGTGTACCTTAGAAATAATAATAATATGGTTGACGAGTGTTGAATGATTCGTATCAAACCAAACATTTTTGCTATAAAAAGCTAGGAATTCATTTAAGGAAATCAATCACATGATGAAGAACACCTGCAGAATAAAATTAATTCCATGAGATTTCGATTTTCCTTTTTTTTCCTTTTTCATTTCTCGCGATCGTATAAAGAAACATTTATACTTTAGAGTTACATCGTTACTTCCATAGTCAGGGCTTCAGTAATAATTTCCCTTCATATTTTATAGATTAGTGGAAATGTAATAAGTGCTACTTGCAATTACTTTTCTCTATGTTATGTCAATGTTCATGTATTCGTTCATTCATTCATTCATTCATTCATTTGTTCATTCATTCTTGATCTGTAATTGTAAAAGTGATTAAGATATAATTTCGAAGTAAAATATAAAGGGTGCACAGGCATTTGCCATGTTTAACTCGCGCATAGGGAAAAGCGATTTTTTCGACTGGTAACAATAATTTTCACGTGTAACTCAAGAAACGCCTTCTCAGTGTAGCACTCAGATATATGTATCCCATACTTCAGATCCCAATCATATTGTAATTTTGCGTACGCCTGCAATTCCGATGACAATGCAATGTCGCACAGTCAAATTTTCCGTACATTCTAAATAGCATCCGCTACAGAGAGGTGGATAACTCTGACACAGATACCAAATGAAAGGGCTTGGAAAATAGAATGTGAGTAGCTACTGACATGAGTCCCAGGTTACATGTGGCGAACGTCACGTGTTTGCAAGTTACCTTTGCTTAACAATTCCGACATTTATCTACAGCTTCTGTAAGGTGAGCACTCAATCAGTAAAAGCATAACACTTACCGATTGAGCACACGTCCACTTTGTTGCGTCCACCACCTCCCTATTTCTTTCCTTTTTCCTGTTTTCTCACTTGTTTTGGACCGTTACCGCTTTACACGAATAGAACACGTTCCCCGAATGATTGGTCATATCAAAAATTATGTATGTTATGTACTCTCGCAATTCGCGAAAAGCTCTAGACCACAATTCGCAGCATGGTTGACGCAAGCGCTAAGGTAAACTATTTAAAGAACGAGGATAAACATTATTCCCATTGGATAATTTACAAGACCTTAAATGCCGAAAATGCGCATCAAAAGCTCCTTACAAAGTGAACATAATCTCCCTTTTCATTTCCCTTCTTCAGCTTCTCAGCTCCTCAAGGCTGCTTGCGCCCCAATATCCAAGCTGGATAAACGGATACGAAATCCGCACCTTGCCCAGTCTTGTGCCGCAGACGCAAATCCTTCTTGGAAAGGAAATCGCATACCTTACATTTGACAAAAAATATAAATAATCTTTACTCTCCTTAGAAATGATAAGTATAAAAATAGACGCTTATTTTCAGTTGGCCGCAAATTTTTATACGCTTATTCTCAGATGTAGGTAATTTTTATACAAATACATGAACGTGTAAACAAATGTGGACGCTTATTCTCAGATGTTTGGAATGCTTTACCTAGTTGTAATTCGATATTAGTTTAGTTTATCAAATACTGTAAAGGGTGATTACTTAGCACACAAAACTTGTCCTAGCCATCACCATCATGGACCAAAACAAGTGTACCAAAATTCATTACAAAATCTCAAAAATTGTGATCTGCAAGCTGAACGCAAGAATACATGTCAGCAGGACAAACAAGCCTAAATGGACTTAGAAAGTCATACGAAATCGACCGGTACGGTGTGTTTATTTCAACTCCGAGTAAACCTAATATAGTCTATCTACTCTTTGGACACTAATTCCCTGCGCTGGCTATAAATTTGTTTTAGAAAATTACCATCAACATTAACGCGCAAGTTCATAATTGTGCTGGAAGTGCATCTTCTCTTACCCAGTTTTATTATAGTGTGAAAGAAATATGCTGCCGAAGCATTATACTAATGAAGAGAAGGTGAAAAAACCGTAATTCCAATAAGCGTTTTCTTCTTTTTTTTTAATGTACTATAAATTTTGATTTTTTTATGAAAAAGCATTTGGGTCATCGGCGATAATGGATTAAAGTTAGCGATTTGCTACCTTCAGAGACGACATGAACTACACGTTAAAGTGCACTTTTCACAAGTTTAACGAATCGCACAATCGTTTACTGAGGCAGGACTTAATCTGTTGTTTGTTACCGCTGTCGCTAATATTCGTTGTCATCGCTGAACCTGTTTAAGAGATTGCTTGAAATTTCACCGAAACTCGAATTCATTGAAATCATATTACATGAACTACATAGCTATTGTTTATTATGCTGTTGCTCTGCTGTCGGTTCTTTCATTGCCATAATGTTGAGAGTTTTATCAAATTTGTTCACGTTAACATACAAAGCCAAAGCAATTCACTTTCATTTCTCACTTATATTGAAACTGAAAGGTTAGACAATATGCACAATAACTGTCTGGAAGCGGTCGGCATTAGTTATCCAAACGTTTATGCCAAATCAGGCATTCGTTTTGTCTCGCAACATCAGTTTCTATTGTATGCATTCTTTACGGGAACATATCAAGGAAAGTTAACGCAGATCGCGTCTGCGACGTTAAATGTTATCAAACGAGAAATTTTGTTATTTTATTTTGTTATTTTTTTTATTAATTAAGTTTTGCAACAAACGTGCTTATATTGTATATATTTATTGGTGTTTATTTTTTATAAAAAGAACACAAATATGTTTATTAGGGTAATTTAGTTCCCTATCTTCTTTTTATTTATTTTTGATTATATTTTCAAATACAATATAATCGATTTATTCTTCTTCTGTCTCCGGAGGGGGCGACTCCTCTTCTTCGACAACATTAGATTTGCCAAGACGTTGGTGCTTATCTGCCCACGACGGCATACTAAACAATCCCCAAAGTGGTATTATCATCATTACCAATATCGATCCACCGCCCATTAAAATCTTTTGAACGAATGAATATCGAAAACGAGGCGGCGCGCAAATTGGATATACTCCACGTGACGGGACTCCCGTCTTGACGCATTCCTTCGGTTGCAAATATGTTTGGGCTCTTTTTTTCAACGATTCCATCGGTTAAATTTAAAGTAAAAACAGATCCGTAGAGTATTGCACTCTTTTATTACTTCAGACTTATTAAAACTTATTTCCCAACTAATTGTATTTATAATCCCGCAGAATTCACTCTCTCTTCCCTTATTGAAAAACGATAAATCAATTATTTTAAAATTGACGTCAACAAGGTGCAATTGAAAACACGAAGCCAAAGGCTACTACTATAAGAATTAAAAACAAAAAAATTTTTTTTCATTTTAGGCAAGTTTCTCTGACGACAGTAGTCCTACGGTTCAATAGAGAAAAGAAACGAATGCAGAATAAGCTTGCATATCGAACGCTTTTTGTCGCATTTTCGTATATAAATTATCTCAGGAGTGAGGTAAAATAATCGAGTTCATTTCTGTCATTTCGCATTTTCCCAGATATCACAACACAAGCGTCTAATAGAAAAGCCAATGACAACAAATTGGACTGAGTAGGTGTAGGCAAAATCGTAGAAAAAGATAGGTAAATGAAGTGGATCGCTCGCTTATACTTCTGCAGGTAACTTGAATGAAACATACCTCAAGTCCCATATCATACTCATCTGTTTCCCCATAGAAGACTAGCGAAAAGGATAATTTTACATCGCATCGTTCGATCACAATAATCATACGTTGCTTCACTGGTTAAGAGAACATTTTCAACCGTTCACATGAAAGGTCTGAGCCCACCTCACTTTGCGATCGTGGTCGTCATTTATTTCAAACGATGGGGAATAATCTGACTGAACAGCTCTTCAGTACTTTTTCCCGAGAATATTTGGAGAAATATTGGCTAACGATAAACAATATTCGGAACAATATTTTTTATTTTGCTTTTGTATATGCAAAGAAAACTTTTTTTTTCTACGTACACAATAAAGGGAGAAATAAGAAAAGCGAAAAATTACATTTGAAAATCTATAACATCTGCGAGAGAACATCACTACTTTATTTGTTCTCCTAAGTTTTGGATTGTTTCACAAATACGTTCTTAAAGGATATAAATATATAGGTCCATATAGGGTATTTACATAGAAAGAGGCTATCAAATATATGAACATCTACATAAACATTTGTATCGACAAAGTGTTTGCATAACAACGAAAAACTAAACATTAATAGATAATATAATAGTGTATATAAGAAATGTGTGTTTGTGTTCGTGTCCAATGAAATTAGGTTTGGACGCTATGTAGTTTATGTGGAAGAATGAATATAAATACATAAGTTTCCGCAGTGATGTCATTTAAACATAGTTGCAACAGCGCGTCGGCAAGTATTTTTTAATCATAAGTTTCTTCGATCTGCTTAAAGCTGCTAAACGAACCGATTTTTGAAACAACTTCTCCCTTGAGGGAAGAACTTTGTTCCTCAAGGCGACGTGTTGTTCGGCGTATAACATCAATCTGCTCGATCTGTTTTGATTGCAATAGAATGGTCGGGATGAATTAAATTTATTCACTTTCGTAGAACTTACCGATTTTTCGGAGAGAGTTTGCGACAGATTATAGCCAGACATGCTGATAAATATCGAGAAATATAAGTGAAAAGCAATTTCGTTTTGCTTTTTTAGAAATATACCTGATGGAGCATATTCTTATCCGATCCAATTCACTTTGTATTGCACTGTAATCGCGGTGAAGTTCACGATATTGTTCGACGAAACGTTGCTTCTCTTGTAGCAAAAGTCGTATATGATCTTCGTATTGCTTGAACGTATCACGTGTTCGTTCTTCGGTCTTTTGCTGGTCATCTTTCCATTTACGAAATGATTCAATCAGCTTCTCACTGTTATTAAACGCACCTCGTTGTTTTCTACAAAGGGAGCAACAGGAAACTTTGATATTAATGTCAATAGATGCAGCGAAAGGGAGAGTTTCTTGAATTCAGATCAAGTGTTACTCACTCAAATTCCCCCTCAAGATTCTTATATTGTTGCATAAGAGAACACATTTTTTGTCTCATTTCATTGTTGGCCTCTTGGAGACGTTTAACCACTTCTCTATGATTATTCTCAGAACGCTGCAGAATACTTTGTTGCTCTTTAACTACATCGTGAGCGGTATACATTTCCTTTTCTGCTTTAATTAATTGCTCTTCCATCGCCTTTTGGCGGCCCATAAGAACTGCTTCTTTTTCTTTTAAAGCCATTACTTCTTCACGCAATAAATTGCGCTGAAAGAAAGCCTTAGTTATCTTAATCTATATAAATACACTGCTCGATGGTTACCTCCATATTAAGTTCGCACTGACGTTTTTCCAATAACTGAAAGCGATCGTTCAGCAAACGCACTTGCCCGGTAGCTGCGCGCAGTTTTTTCGACTGATCCTCGAAACTCTTATCCAACGATTCATATTTACAAGCCAACTCCATGCGGTGATTTTCTTGAGTTTTTAGCAGAGAAGCCAAACGGTTCGTTTGAGTAGTTAAGTCCTCTGTTCCAAAAAAAAAAATTTCAATTATTCGTATAAATTTATAAATTACTTGCGCTTACCATTCTTCTTCTTACTTTCGTTCAGCTCTTCATTAAGCTTCCGCGTTTCTAAGCGCAGAAAATTCTCCTCTTTTCGTGATCTGTCCAGTGCACTGACCAAGTGTTTAACCCTCTTCTCCAAATGTATTGTCTTATTATCTGGTATTGGCATCGAAAGTGTCGTCGGTGGCGTTGGTTGCATTGGTTGCATTGATTGCATCGGTCCACGATATTCCACAGCGTTAATTGGCTCACCTTGATGTTTATGAGAAACTCGAGCCAACATCGCACTAAGCTGCAAAATCTTCTGTTCACGTTCGGCAATTGCATGCTGCATGTGCTCAAGTTGACATCTCATGCTTTCGCTCTATATACAAAATGGAAAAACGTAAAAATGATTTACAAAAATTAACGAGACAAGAACGAGCGATTTCAAAATCACACATTTCTGTGAAAATCCCAAAACGCGGCATCACATTCCAGTGTCTTGTGTTTCAATGCAAATTCAAGTTTATCGTTTTGTGTTTCCAACTCCTTTAAAGAGTTTTCAAAGCTCGTCTCAACCGTTTGATCTTGTTCACTACTCTTCTCTTGCACCATCATCGTCTCACACGAAATTTCATCGAGATCATTTTTTAATTCGTCAATGATTTCGTGTGTGGCGGCTATAAGTGCTGATTGCTGTTTGTGACAGTGGTTTATTGTCGCTTCTAATTGAACAATGTGCGGACAGTCTCCTGCCTTAAATAGCGGGAAAAAAGTGTAAACGACATAACCTTTCTAAGCTTTATTTACATTCTCTTACCATTACTTTCTCTTTCTTTCTCTCTCTCTCTCTCTCTCTCTTTCTCTCTCTCTGCCTCCCTTCCTCTTTTAACAAATGTGATGTGAATGAGATATACGATGAATATGAAAACTTCTTTTACAAAAACTTGCACAAAAGTTTGTAGTGATTTAAGTTTTTCTAAACTTTGTGTTTCGTCGAAATTACTTGGAATACTTTTCGTCGACATCAATATGATGTTCGTGTAATAATTTATGCATTAAAGAATTATTAGAAATTCATTTTACGGTCGTTATCGTTTTCAGTTTCAATAAATTCGCAATAAAAGAAAAACTTGGTCACGAAACACCCACACCTATGCATAAATGTACATGCTTGGTTTTCTGTAAAAAAAGTATCAGGAATTTTAAGAATTTGAGATTTCAATTTATTAATTTATCCGGAAGGTTGACACGGCATATTATGCCATAGCCATCTTTTAAATAGGGCATGAAACAACTCGAAATATCTATAAGACAAGTGTTTTATATGCTTTATAAATAGGAAAGAAGAAACAGGCTAAGCGGATCGCTAGATTTTGCTGCTTGATATTGAAAGGGTTTTTGAGCCAAAAAATTTTTTTCGAGAATGAAGAAAATAAGGCTAGAAGGTCCTCATATCCAAAATAATAATGAGGATCAGATATACATCTAAAGTTAAGTTCTTTACCTTTAAACGTCTGCTTAAGCATGTTTTTGGGCGCTTTTCTCGCGGGATATCTTTACATATATTTTTCGAAATTTCTAATTTACCTTGCATTTTTATTTAATTTTAATTTCGGAAAAGTAAGAACGTGTTTTAGGTTGTGTCTAAACGTAGCCTTCTGTACAACAGTCTGAAAAATTCAACTATTTCGGGCCAAGATAAATTGTAATCCATTTCAAGTCTAAAATTTTAATAACGACTTTTCTCTTCTCCCTCTCTCTCTCTCTCTCCCTCTCTATTCGTTTCCCTAATAGTACGTTTTATACATTACTCTAATGAAACTTCTTCAGTTTCAACAATTTTTCAGTTTCCATCGTTGAATTTTTTTTCCCCGACAAAAATCTCGAAAGGAAATTCTTAATACTTTTTTGACAAAATACAAGCACCCATACAAACAAACATTAAACCAAAAAAAAAAACTTACTTTGAATCGAAGCCAATAAACTCGTCATAGATTTTATTTTACATATATTATCGCTATTTACATATATAAGTGAAATTACTAGAGTTGAAATACCATATAACGCAACAACCACATCTTTCCCATATATATATATATATATATATATAGGTATACGGTACTCAAGGTGCAGCAAAAGTAATTGAAAAGCATTCGATTATTCACTACAGCAAAAGCAATCAAAAAATTGTGCACAACATATATATATTTGAAAAACTGCATAAAATTATAGACAATTAGATGGATCCTTTATAACTACATATGATGACATATTTATTTAATTTTGTGCAAACGTTACTGCGTTCTTAAAGCTAAACTCGCTTTTCACACTATGAAGAAAATTCATTAATATAATGCATTTAATTTTATTTTAGTGTTGATTAATACAAGCTATTAATTAGTGCGCTTATAAAGTAACGCGCGAGAAAGTAAATAAAATATTTATATATGATATGAATATAATTTAACACACATATGTGTCGGGCATATATTGAATATAGAAGACAAGGCAGGTCAAGTTCGCATATTCGTGTTTAAATACATTTTGGCACATTTAACCTATATAACAGCCTAAAGGCTTGCAGATATACAAATCTAAATTTTTTATAGGTACGACTTGCATACGACAGTAGGGGTGTGCCCGTTAGTAATGAACATTTTGCCATCAAAGGAAATGGAAAATGTACTAATTTTAAGAGAAGAGCATTTGAGCTGTGCTTTGGATGTGATGTGTGGATTTGTAGAGGGCTTTCCCACGGCACTGACTAGCTTAAGATTAAATTAAAGCAAACAGAAAATGAACTTTTTACTTCTTCGCCTTGCTGAAAGCAAGGCACGTACATATGAGCCGGTAAACCTAAAATATATATACGTTGTTATGCATATAAATTTTAAAATATCCTATCGACAAATAATTCACAAGCTATATGTTTTTATGCAAATAGAACATATATTGATTTTTTAACTTATCAAACAAATCTGTATGCAAAGTTCGTTGCATTCTCTTGTCATTGGGTAAGTAGGAGTTATTAAAAGAAAAGCTTTTTCAATCTGAAATTAATAGCATAGCAATGGGCATTACTTAAAATCGCCAATCATTGTTATAAGACATTTTGCGGATTGTTAAAAATGTGTGGGTTGAAAGTGATTAGAATTCGTATTCGATTCTTAAATAAAGTTCAATGCTATATGTAATTACAGAAAATAATTTTGCGTATTTTAAAAAAACTCTTTGTGTATGTAATATTGTCGAAGAAGGACCTCTGTTTGCGTTTCTTCTATCCCATTCAACTAATACTGGGGTTAACAACATTCTCTTTACAATGTGGCTCTAAATTGATAAAATATTTGTTTTTCTCGTTTTTTCTTATTGAATAAATAGAAATAAACAGCACAAAATGAAAAGCACACTTTTAGGCGCAAATTTAATCATTTTCACACTTGAAAACTTCCCGCAATGAACGCGAGAACGGCATTCAGATTTCAGGTTTAATTACACTCGAAAAGTTTCATACTTTTTTAATTTGTTGTTTATTTACTTTCCTTATACTTTTCTTAGTTCTTTCTATGCATATGGCTGTGCATATACGGGTGTATAGCTATTATTATTGTTATTGTTATTATTATTATTATTTGCATTTGTGTTTCTTTACAGATAAGCAAAACACTACACAATACCCTGCAAGTTTTTCTTGAATTTATATCCGTTTAAAGTTTAACCAGCATTGTCTCGTCACGAATAAAGTCAGTCAGGAAATGAGCGGGTTCGCAAGACATTTTCTGTCAGTCATTCATTTTATTAAGTGAGTAAAAACCAATCCAACGTGTATGTGTGTGGAAGTGCTTTCTTACGTATTATTATTATTTTTTTTTTTCTTAACTTTTCTCCTCTTTATATCGTTACCGTTGTGATCGTTTTTCAAATAACTGCATAATACATACATATACATCGCATTGGTAAAATATTGTTTTGTTATTTATTTACTACGCTCGCGGGCTACATTACAAACACGAAGGTGTAGAAGAACCCAAAAAACACTTGTTAAACATTTCCATTGCATTATTCCAGTTTAGAAACTAATAAAATCCGCCAGCTAAATATAGTTAAAAATATTGAATGATTTTTGAAAAGCTTAATGCAATTCTTAGTTAAAATGTTCTTTCAAAGAAATTGAAAAGTCACGCCGAATAATAACATGGTCATACAGTATCAAACTTATATGTGGGTAGAGTATCTTTCAATCTTAAGCATTCAAAAAAAACTTTCTTTTGCTCTGCTATTGAAAGCAGTTTCGAAATCTAAACTTCATATGCAACTTTACTTTATTATGTATATGCCTTAGTATTCTCATACTAATGGAAAATCTATAATGATATAAGTGAATTTAAATAAATAACAGAAAAGTATTGTTTGCGTGCACGTAGAAAAAACCTACTCTCTTAAAATTACTAGTGCGAGCAAACAAAGAAGTCGCGCGCATTGCAATTTTACTTTTTTTTTAAACATTTAAAAATCTTTTTTTTTATTTTAGCTATGTTTGCTTGTCGTTCCTTCTCTTTGTTAAACTTTTACGTTTGTTTATTAATATTTTAGAAGATTTATACTCAAACTTTTTCCTACACTCTGAGGTCTTGCTAAGTTGAATAACTAGTCAAACTGAATCATGGATTCATTCATAATTAGTAGAAAATCGAAAATATCTCTTTGGGGTTCAAACTGGGAACTCAACCATAAAAACACAATAATAAGCGTCCGTCTTAGGCCAAATCTTAAATAACCGCTAATATATTGGTTTTAAATCAGCCATGTCTTGTTAACCCATTGGAGGCCACCACAGAGGCCTTATTGCCTTGCATGTTCCTCGCATGTTTTGCGCGCGTTTACTAAGCTAAGGAGTAGGTATGAAGGTACGTTTTTCCAGATTTCTGAGAAATCGTTCTAATTGTGAGAACACAACCAGTTCCGTAATTAAATAGTAGGCTTTCACGGCTGGAGACACCAAAAAGGAAAAAAAAGAAACGAGCGTCCCTATACAAAAACTCGATGTAGCCAATAAAAAAAAAAAACGAAAAAAACATTAAGAAGAAAATGCCAAGGGAGTGAAGAGTCCAAAAATATGTTGTCTAATTAATCGATTAAAGTATTCTCGGTTATTGAACGGAATTTGTTATTTAAAAGCTCATTGGGAAAATGTTTTCGCAAACGGTTTGGCCGGCCATATTTTGTCTGTTTCCATTGCCGAAGAACGATCTATACGATTGCACTCATGGCATCATGATTGCAGAGAGCCGTGCACACTTAAAACAAAAAAAAATGTGTATAACAGATTGCCTCAATTAAGACTTTCTGTAGAAAATTTGCTTCACACAGTGTTCATTGCAGTTCATGTCAGTGCAAGGATATTATAATAAATGTGTGTATAAGCGCAAGATTTGTGCCTGCATTAAATACCTATCATCGTATGTGGACGTGTTTGCTTTATAATTGCATTTAATTTAAGACAAAAGCCTTTTATTTTTATTATCGACACGAGATAACGAGATAACCATAACGGTGTGGAATTGTTTGAGGCGATTTACGTTTACCAGAATTGTTTTAGAGACCCATCTGAGGTTCACCTAATTTCCCTGGGAATCTCGTATGTGCCTCTTAGCTAGCAAATGTAAGCATGAAGTGTGAGTTACCCGAGCTAGTAACATTACACTGCTGTCAATACACAAAATGCGAACTTCTCCACATATTAACTAACCATCTTGAAGTAGGAAGAAACAACTTAAAGAGACTATATTCTCCAACAGCAACTAGATAAAAATGATATGCAAGCAAAATTACATATACTACTAGAGAATATTACTATGGAATTTTTTAATAATTACTTAAACATAAAGCTTGTTGTGATTTACCAGAATTGAAGAATACTCAGCAGTATGTATGCTTTATATCATATATGAATCGTGCACAAGTGTGCCTTGTCACATGCGGTCAAAACTTTGACAATTGTTGCTATAGATGAGTACAAATTTTCAAGCTTCAACGCGAAATTTGGAACTGTCGGCAAAACTATCACACGCCAGTCTTATAATGGCTCTAGACCAAGCGGAACGCTTAAGGGACATGAATGCGAACGTTTCGCCTTCTTTATTGCGCTTGCAAGAAATAACACGTCTAAACGCGTATGTAGTGTTGGTAGGCCAAATCTCCTTTGAGAAGTATGGGTTATGCATATTGCGTTGCATGTGGATTCAGGCACTCTGTTAGAAATAGTCGCTTGTACTAAGTGTAAACCTAATTTATTTATTTATTAGCCTAAAAAGCAATTTAGATTCATGATATGCGATAGAATACAAGATAATTGTAAGTACTGAAAACGTTAATTATTGATTCAAAAACAAAATTAAAGAATTAAATAGACACGCTTTCAATAATTGGATATTCTTATGCAATCAGTTTGCCATCTTGCCAAAAAATATTAAACGATGCACATTTTTCTAAGATATATAAGTGTGATCAGAAGAGTTTTAGTATCAGGTGTACTGAAGCCGTGCACATCGAGCTGGCGCTCTGTAAGAATGTGTCGGTAACGCTGTCAATATTTTACGCGGTAATTTACGTACAATTACGACACTTAATTTCCATTCATCGAGCATATACCAAGTTTGCCGTTCTGAAGCGAATACGACTTTTTCTCCTTCAATATTCTTTTATTCATTCATATCGTATTTCGGGCTAACAATATGTTGGATATTAGTTTCGACACTTTATAAATTGTCATATTTTAAATCGTATATGTTAGATACACAGGGATCAATTTACAACTTTTATGATCGATAACTTACATACATATATATACCACTCTATGATTCCATCAATTTTGCATCATCGAATGCAAATTTGTGCTTAAATGCACGAATGTTAATCTTAGTATATTATCAACTATATCTACATATAAAAATATTACCTGTGACACAAAAACAAGAACTATTTTCCTGCCTTCTGCTTAATTAATTAGAAAGTGATGTTACGTTTGTAAGTACGTATATGCGTTAAGGCAACACGTGTACATTCTTGTCTGAAATCACATATATAAGTACATTTTTTAACTGTTAAAAATATCTGCTTTACGCTTTTTATGCTAGATTCGTTTAATATCCATGTTAAAGGCTCTATCTGCCGAGCTTGAAAAGCTTGACGCAAGTCAAACGTTTAAAAAATAACCATGGTCCGTTACACGAGATTTTTGACTGTCCGGAAGAAAACTTCAACTTAAGGACGAAATCATTAAAGTTGCGGATCTCAAATACGTAACGCTGTTAAAGCTGCTCATATATAGAAAGTAAAACAATAGCTTTCGGGTATTAAATTGAGTACAGGCATTATCTTCTTTAGAAGAACTACGTACGAAAAATGAATAGAATCGTCGTTGTGTAGCGAATGTCATTTGGAGGTGATTGTCACTTAGAACTGGCTGTTGTCGTTTGTATGCTGACTGGTACTGAATGCAACTTTTAAAGGCTGATTTTTATGTTAATTTTACATAGTGTTTTGAAAAAAAAAGGAGCCATTAAATCTTACCATAACACTTCTTCTCATATCGCTGTACTCTCTTTCTCTGTCAAGCAACGCTTTTCCTAATTCTTCAATCTGTTAACGGCAAAAATGCAATACAGTGACAGTAATCTGGTAGTCGATTCATCTACGAAATTTGATATGTACTGACCTTTTTATTCTTTAAAGCGAGAGCGCGGAATAATTGACTTTCTTGTTCCTGATATTGTCCCTTGATTTGTACGATAGCGTCACAAAATGGATTTATAGTGCATTCTTTATTATAGATATCCGTGTAGGAGAATTGTTTATTTATCTATAGCATAATATAATCACATACAAACTATGTCTTGGATAGCTACTGATACGATGTTGGCTACCTACCATACTGCATAGCAAATCAGCAACTTGCTTTAATGTTCGACTATTGCACTCGGAGTATTCTTTTTCAGCTGTTAAACTCGTTTCAAGTTCTGCAAAGGCAAACAATATATGTTGTTAGTTAAAAAACTAATTAAAATTTTATTAATTATATTATTCGTAAATAGGCATTAAACACAAGACCGACTGGCAACGCACGTGGGTGAACATCTGTTAAGAAATTGTACGTCGGTCTCATGCTTATTATATGTTTGCGTATTAACTAAGTTCCTCTTGATAGGCTATAAGCTAACAGATTCCTTCCTGTTCTTTGCGGGCCTATTCGAAGGTCGAGCCATCAATTGAAAGTTGAATCAGCTCTTTATTATCCCAGTTTCTGCGGCCTTGATCATAGTACACGTAACATAAAACTGACTTATTGAAAATCTTATGCGTCTGTGTGTTCGAAATTTTCCAGGCATGCATTGGCTTACTATATTTTAAATATACGCATGTTCTTTGGGAGTGGGCGTAAAAGTGTGTTTCAGTGTTTAGCCTTTCAAAATAAGGCTTTGTCTTTGTATTCCTAATCGGTTGCTTACCGTTATTTTCCAGTTCCAATTTTTGTACCCTTTTTTTTAATTCAAAACCTGTTTCACTCAATTTGCGCAAACGATTACGTACAGACTCAACAATTTTGAAATCTTTATCATTTTCGCTGTTACTACTAAATCCCGTATCGCAATCGTAGTTGGCCTCAGCAGCCGAAGCCTCCAAATCCATTAATTTGCGCCGAATAAAATCCAGCTTGCGACAGGCTTCAATTTTTTCGATTTCCTGAAATTTCCCAGACAACAGCATTTAGTTAAACGAATTGAAAAAAATCCTAAAGTTTTTCTTAATGTCTACCGATTTTTGAAAGATATCCAACAAGTGTTTACGATGCGTTTCCAATTTTTGCTTATTGCATTCTTCATTCATTTTGAAGTATTCGTTTAACTCATCTTCCAGCATTTTCAGTTTTTGCTGTTCTATACTCTCGCTGCGACTCAAGGTGTCTAATTGAGTACAACAATCACCAATTAGCTGCAATTATAAATATCGCGTTTTAAATAATTTCTTAAAAATTATAAAATTAACGAAATATCGCGCTGCTTTATTTTTAAATCATCGCTCACCGTCAACGCACTACATTCGGCGCCTTGTGCGGCGTCACTACGAGCTACTGTCTGATTTTCCAAATTAACTGGCGCCATATCGAAATTAGCTTGAAGACAACTTCGGGAAACAAGCTTTGATTTGAGCGAGAGATTTTTTCAGTTTGCAAAATAAAAGCACATATGAAATCAAAAGGAGAGAACAAGATTGGTATTTTAGCTTACACTAGTTTAACGAAACGGGGAATGACTATAAAAGGATTTGCAGGAGTGGTAGCAGGAAACACACAACAATAAGCCAAAATATTTAAAAAAAAAAAAAATAGAAATTTCGTATATTCTGGTCAAAATTTTTCTTTACTAGTTTTTACACAAAAAAATCTTTTCTACTTTTTTTTTAAACGATTTTTAAGAATTTTGATTTTCTCTATTAAGGTTTCAAAAAGTTTTTGACACGAAATCTTAAGTTTGAAAAAACAAAAAATGAAGATTTGATTTATACACCTTGGCATTAGTACACTTCAGGTCGCTGCGCAGCTCTTTAATAATTTCTTCTTTAAGTTGTATTTTTTTTTGCGCATTTTGCATTTCGTCTTCCATGCACACCACCTGTCTCTTGAGCGCTTGAATCTCGTCATGTTTCTCGGCAACCTCGACGGCCAAAGCCTTTATATTGCAGTGTAGCTTTATGAATAGCAAGCAAAGCGAGCACAAAAACGAGAGAGTCAGCGATAGAGAAAGAGAAGGAGAGAGGGAGAGACATAAGAAAAAAAAGAAGGGGAAGCTTATTAATGTTTTAAGTCATTAAAATTTATTGCGTTCAAATATAATTTAAATGAATAAAGTAACGTTAAGTTTTTCATAAGATCCAATAAGTTATGCGTTAAACAGAAGGAATTTCGCGTTTGATTAAAGATCGAAATAACCGTCTACACACCTTGTGCTTTTGTTCTAGTCCCAGTTGTTTCTGCAAATTGGAATACAAAAGACACTTATTAAAGAATCAAAGTTATGAGGAAATTAAACCTACTTTCGTTTCAATTACTGTATCGGTGTTGCGCATATATTGTCCGTTTCTCTCTGTTTCACCGTCGCACAGTATTTGAGACAACGATATAGTTTCGAAGGATAGACCTTGAAAATCCCATGTATCGTTATGATAAGCATTCTGGACGATCCTAATTAAAGAATTGATGTCTTGGCGACATTTTAACAATTCATCGCTTTGGCTGCGACGGCAATCGGTGTTCACTTTTTGTCGCAAACATTGCAAACGTTCAGCCACCTCCGACTCCAGCTCTTCCATATTAGTGATAATTGATTGGTTTATTTTAAGAAGTATGTCCACCCACTCCTGGTATGTAATCAATTTTAACTAGAAACGTAAATATTCAACAAATCGTCTATTTTTCTTCTCTCGCAATTCACTTTTTTTACTTACGTCCCTATGACCGTCCGCGTTATTGTCAATATCTTGCAAACGGTTTAAAAATACTCCATTAATTTGTTCACTAAGTTTGGCTGAATCTCCAACAAGCAAGTCGGAGTTCGAATATTTTTGCAGCTGCTTCTCAAAGTATTCTGTAGGAATTTGTTCTATCGCCTTTGCATTTTCTAGAGCATCACATAAGGGATGCGAGCAACGACTGCTTATTTGAAACGAAAGATCCTGTAGATTCGAGGGGAAAGCTGTTGTTGTATTTACTCGAGCATCGTTGTCGAAGTTGTTGCGCAAACATGAGTTAGTGGTTATGATAGTGGTACTATTTTCCGAATTCATTTTTTGAGAAACTAACCCTACGCTCTGATTGCAATCATCTAGCCTTACGAATGATCGCAAGTCCCTAGATTTTGGCTGGGCAGAGTATATGTTTTGGGTGTTTGACTGTGCATTGCTTTCAATTATAACTTTATCGGACTGATGATTGTTCTCGGTTTGCAATGTGCACTCGAACTGATAGTTTGCCGCTCTGCGTGGTACATTTGGATCAGATTTTTTTGATGCTGTAAGGAAGGTAGGGTATCCGGGCGAAGGAGACCGTGACGATCGTGTTGATGGAGCGGATTTACGCACTGATGAGGATGAACTTGGGACATTGTCAGAATTTTGTTCCATATTTTGGATATATCTTCAACAATTAATGTCACTGTGCAACTAGCTGGCTCACCTTAGCAAGTTCGAAATTTGCACTCTTTTGTTTTGTCTAAAAGTAAATATTTAGGGCACAAAAAACACAAAAACGATAAAAAAGAAAACACAAAGTAAATAAAAAGTTTTTTTTGCATTTGACTGTGTGCGACTGTTGTGCGACATTAAAAAACAATACATAGAACAAAATTGAAAACTATTTGGCATTGAATATACGAACATACCCACATACATTTGTATACCTGTGAAGAACAAATGAACGAACCGAACATATGCTTAAGCATCAGTCATATGTATTATTATTTTTAATTATTTTCTATTTTAGACCGACCGGCTTTGAGATCAACTCAACAGTATAGTAAACAAGTATAATAGGCACATAGCACTTTAGGCTGCTACAAAGCAGCTCTAGATATCAGCATTTATATGCATTGTATGTATAATGCGTGAGTATAAATTTCTTACATCGTTTGTTTTGTTTTTTTATCTTTTCGTTATTGCAATCGTAAGATGGGCATGTTAAATTTATTGCATTTGTTTTTGTGAGAATTTTTAGGTTTTGTGTTTTCATTTCCCTCTTATCTTGTAATAATAAAATATGCGAGGACCTCTGAGGGATTGAAAATTTTGATTTAGAACAAATCCAGGTTACCCTCACCTCAGGCACGTAAATCATCTAGTTTTTTCTATTGATCACCAAAGAAAATTGTTATGATAAATTTACACTTGCGTTTGTAAAATTTTTGTTCAACCGCTTGATCAATCTGCTCTTTTACCTCATTCGTTCGAATTCGGTTGATTCCACGGCCCAAAAATCCAGATAGGAAGCTGAAACTTAACGTTTGTATTCTCAATCGAAGACCATTAAACAAGTTTGGGAATGGGCGCGCGACACCCTAAAATTATATCCTCTGCAGACGATACCTTGAAATTTGCGAAGCGCAACTGATATTAAACTGTGAAATATAAGTATATTTAGATGTAAAATTATTTATCGACACGAAAATGGTGCACACCTAAAACCAACAGTGTACTTTGCAGTTTGATACGATGGATGTTGGAAATTTCGACACAATTACAAAAATTTGTTGAAAATTTTTATATATATTTGAGATTATTTCAATCTCTTATTATTGTTATGATTAGTTTAGCCAGAGAAATAAATTGTAAGTTCATTAACTCTTAAAGCGCTAGCTTTATTGAAAAGTCTGCCGCACTTGAGATTTGAATCCTTGACTATTGAGCGGTTAGTGGAGATCCTTTGCCGACTCGGCCACTCAGGCGGATTCAATTAAAAAAACAATAAATGTTCGCGCAGACACAAATTAGAATGTAAAAATTTTTAAAGCCTATAATTAATCTGAATGAATAAAGTTCACTTTGGTGAACTACCACTTCAAGCCGTTATAAGTGTAGATTCGAATCCGTAGATGTAGAATATAAGAATTTCGCCACAAGCCAGATATAACCTCGTTCGTTTTTAAAGTCGTTTTTGATAATGTGATAGACAAAGTTTATTTTCTTTTTCTTTTCCACGATTTCAAACGCGTTCTACTCTGCACTCAATGATCCGATATTGCTTCTAGCTAAAATAATACTAACAGCAACCGCTAAAATGTTTATGTAAAATAGATGTGGTATTCTCTGCCAATAGTATAACTTATCTACTCGGGGAAAGTGCGCTCAAATAAAAGCCTGTAATACCACTTATTAGTGGCAAAAAAAAAAGAAATGTTTAGAATCGATGTTTATTACAGAAGCAAATAGGCAAGCAAAAAAAAAAATATATATTTAAATCATATACGCTTGAAGTAGATATAAAGCGATCATTACAAAAAGTTTTCTTTCTTGAAATGCTCAACCATTGATGCACAACCGCTCTCTTTATGTGTGCACAAAAATCTGCTCATTTGTTTCTACAAAAAATGAAGTTAATATATATGTATATGCACGCATAGACTTATTTTTAAGCCTGTACGTACCTCATAAATGTACTAAGACTTATACTTGTTAATAGTTTAGAACTTTACTTATTGGATTTTAGGATCTTTTCAAGTTCGGTTCGAAAAGCAACGCGAAACGAAAGGCATACTTAACTACGATATCAATTGACTTTTACAGCTTTTTTAAAATGGATATATGAAAAGCCTTTCTTCTACAAAAAAAAAAAATTAAATTTTAGAAAATCTTCTCAACTTCTTAAAGCTCAGGAAAAGGGATAATTAAAATTAGAATAGAGCGATCTGGTGAAACTTGGTGGGCGAGTGCGGTTTCACCCTTGTTCAGGTACCGATTCGGAGAGCGGTATATATATAATTTACCAAGAAATGTAATTATCCACTCAGTGGAACCCACAAAAGATATGAAACAAATTTCGGACAATAATGGTTTTACCCGCTTCTCCTCCCCCATTCCGGACCATTATGAAAGTTTATGGAATTTTTAAAATCACAAAAATTATCGAAACGAAATATGCTAAACCTTTTTTTTGAATGTGTTCCAAGTATCGAGTTGCCCAATTTTAAAAATGGATGTAATCCATTAAAAAAATAAATAAAAATCGCAAATTTCGAAAAAGTCTGCATAAAAAATTCCTGTTGTTGGAGTGATTTAGAAAGTTTAGCGAAAAAAATTATACCGATCAGCTTACTAATTTAAGCACAATTATAAAAAGAACCGTTCGAGCCGAAGTATTTGAAATTCGATTAATGTAACAATTATTTTACTTTCCAAAAGAAATTTTACACCATAAATGCACCTCCTCCTCTTACCAATCAAAGGTCACATTATAGGCAATTAAAAAGCATTTTATAAAATGTAATGTTTTATTCTCATGTCGCTTTTTTTATTATTTTCAATTTTGTTATAATGTTTCGTTTGTGTTTTACTGTAGTTATTGTTTAAATTTTCTGTGTTCGGGGGCATTGAGGTGGAGAAGAAATGAGGATATAAATGAATGATGTTGATGGTACTAATGGCGGCGTGGTGGTGACGATAGCGTAAATTTGATTGAATCAAGACACTTTTATTGAAAAAATTCAATAAGTTTGCTATTGCTTGAGCGAGGAAGAGTGTACTGCGTCATGTTTTTTGAATTCGCATTGAAGACATTTATAGACTGAATTGTTTTGTTTAACTAATTTTTCGTACACATTATAAATTTATTAATTCCCTTCTTTTTTTTTTAAAACTGATTTACCGAATGAATATAGGAAAAGAAGGAAAGACACACTGGCGGCAAAATAATTTTCTCTGTTCTCATTAAAGATGATGGAATGAATACACAGAAAATATGCAAAAGAGGAAAAGACTCACTTGAATGTAGTTCAACTCATATTTATGAAGAGAAGAATTACAAAGAAGCCTAGCAGAAGAGGTCCAAATATTATAGTAGTAGTAAGTGAAATATTTCAGGACAATTACACAAACCCCTCAAGAAATTCTCCTCAAATTCATGATACCGGGCGGATATGGGAAGAGAGTGCTTGATTGTTGTAGTGTGTCAATGTTGCTGTATAATGTTGTGTTTTACTGCAGTACGTATAATAATAATATAGATTCCGTATTAATTTTTTACAATATAGTTTTTTTTTTTTGATCATCAGCTAATTATTAGATGTTGAACACAACAACTATTTCTACAACGTGTTAATGAGTAGAAGTTATATCTAGCGAATTTTTATCGCTTCAACCCCGGACTAGCATCTCTTAACATGTCGCCATGAATTTAAAGTAGGAGCAGACGTATTAAATGTTGTGGCAATGGTAGCGGATAAGTGTGAGTACGGTGTTTCTATAGGGGATAAATAGTTAAATTTTGAGAGTTTACATTGCTGAGTTAGCGTTTAAGCCAAATAAACATAAACTTTGCGATCTTCAGGTGTTCTCGCCAAATATTCTCGTTCAATAAGGCCTTCTATTCGTTTCTTAATCAATACAGGTGACGGCAAGAACCGTGACTTTAATTGAGACGTCACATCAGACACTAAAAGATTATGCTATAGGAATAAATAAATATATATATAAGAAATGTTCATTATGTTAAGTAAAATAAGTAAAAGAAATTACCGGCATGCGTTTTCTGGCCTTCATTATTCGCACGATAGCCGCCTCAATTTCATGTTTACGATCTTCATCTACCTTACCTCTTGTCTCCTTGCGTTCAGGTTCCGAGTCTCCCTTAGCAGCCACGGTTTGAATTTTAACTCTGCCGAAATTCAGAAACATTTCGTTACTTGAAGATATGTCCAATCAAAGATACTACCTGTGGAATTTCGAAACAAAAGCATCATTTACCAGAAACTCATCTGTAGCTTCAATATCTTTAGTCTTTGTTTTAGAGTTGCGTACTAGTAAACGCTGAGACGGTTTTCCCATTGACAGCGATTGCAGAGCTCTATGCAGTTCACGTTCTGGTATATCCGTCTCTTGTTGAATTTCTTCATATGTCATGATTTCTCGGTTATTGAATAGCATCAGTACACACATCTGATAATGGGTGTATACAAACAAAATTTCAATTAAAAAAATTGAAGCAACACATCGTCAGATATTTTTTTAAGCAAACTCATGACATTAACTAAACTACCTGGTACGTAGACACCGTTAGTATATGTTTACGCGTTGTGGTGGGTATAATGCAACCGTTCGTGCTAGACGACAAGCTTGAACTAGGCCCATCTTTATCTTTATCGTTTTCTACCTTACGGCCATAGAAGACAGCATTTATGCAAGCCGATCCTAAAATAATAGTTATATAATAACAAGATAATATTTGAACAATAACAAAAAATGTACTACGTTACACATACCCATTTGGGGTTGCAAGGTCAACTGACGCCCTGAATGTTTGTCTAGATAGAATTTTTTAAAAATCTCAAAAGCTTCTCGTGGTGCAGACGGTATATTGCAATTAGGTGTTGAGGTCTTTGAAGAAGAATTTCCATTTTATTTACCAAATCTCTCAATTATGATCACCTTTACATTTACCTGTGTAGGCCAAAAACCCGTGGTAAGTATTCTAACTGTCAACTCAACACCAGATAATGATAATTTATGATTATTTACATAGGTTTTAAATTCTTCATTGATGGTGTTGGACACAGACATATCTTTAAACATGCCCTCTAACTTCGAAGTAAATTGACACCCGCATTCAGTCTGCAATAAAATGATTTATTGTAAGACCTGACAATGTCTGAAATTTGTGCCAGTAAACTTGCCTTCAACTTGGAAATCATGTTTTTTTCAAAGTCGTCTGAAACTGATTTATTGAGCAGTAGACGCTTAGCTAAATGTGTCTTATAATAACGTTCAAACACATCCTTTTCCAGTAAAAACCGAAACAGAACCATGGTTTTATCTAATATAGTTTCAATTTCTTGTTCAGTCATCTGCAAAAGAGAAAAACATCAACATTGGATTTGCTTTATGTTGCTCCCGAGTTTCTTTTTTATACATACACCTTTGCCGCCCTTTTTTAATTTATCATCTATAAAGAGCGATAAATACTCCGGCGACTTATTATTCAAATTCAAAAAATGCTCAAAATCAGACGAGATGACATTTTTGAAGAGCCGATCATTATTGAATGAATGATGAAGGAACTGATCAAAACGATCCTTAAGATCCAATAAATTTTGAACAAAAGTTATAGGATTCGTATTGCCGTTCTCTTCTTCCTTAACAAGAATGCGGCCCTGCTCCCGCAAATAGGCGGACATTGTGTCGGCTATGACTTTTAAACCCTCTTCCTTTAGTCGAGAAAACAGTTTATACGTGCAGGCCAAATCTTCGGTCTTAGAGTTCTTTATCATATACACCACGCCAGAATTTTCCATTTCGACGATAGTGCGCATGTGCTTTTTAATTAGTTCGTCTTCGACGACTCTAACAATACGCGGCTCTGTGTCCTTGTCTAAGTACAAAGCCGCGCGTGCAGATTCTTCTTGGATGCGTGCCTACAAATCAAGAACACCAAATTAGCGAAAGTGAATTCTCAACCCATCTCGCACTTACTTCAACTTTCTTTAGGTAAACACTAGCGTTGTTCTCAGCTAAGAACTTCTGTGACTCAAATTTATAGAATGAAGCAGATTGAGCCAGAAAAGGCTTTTCAAAGTCATCTTCATATACAGAACGCGAATTAATACCCAAAGCCATCAACATTTGACAAGCGTTTTTAATGGCCAAATGATTGATAGCTTCGCCGCTGCGTTCATCTATAACCATACCCAACAAAGTGTCACGCAACGCTTTTTGTATGTCAGAATAACGAACAATCTGTGAAGACAATATAATAAAAATTATGAAGTTTAATTAATATTCTATACAATTTACTTACCTCATCTCTGAACAGAATCAAACCTAAATTGTAGACATTTTCTACATCTCTGTTCTGTACGTAGACACGATCCATGTACATTAAAATGTCACGTATCATAACCATTGAAGTTTGGTGATCGGTCCAAGCTTGATTGAGTTTCGGCAGGAAATTGTTGTGCAAACTTTCTAATACGTCTTTGCGAACCTTCTCTTCCAAATGCTCCTTAACCACATCGCGTAAGCCGAAATACAGGCGGTGACCGTGCTTATGTAGAACCATATTGTAAGCATTACGATAGAGTTGTTCAAAAGAGAGACCCGAATTATTTTTCTTTTGGATTTCTTGAATGGCATTTTTTAAACTAGCCCATATTGTCTCGACGTACTTTTCATCCATAGAGGCCTGAAATAAAAAATGAAGAAATTGTTTATAGGATATTCAAAAATATTTCAATTATGGTCAATGAAATTTTAAAGGCAGTGCTAACTTTAAAGGCATTTGTTTTGTACTCAGGTAGCCATAACGGAAATTTTCTTTGTATTTCCGCTAATTTAGCTTGTTTAGCATTGCTGCCCGACGAACAAGATGTTCCTCGGTGCAGCTGGTGAGAGCGACGATGTTCTTCTGATTGTCTTGAGGTTGATGCAGATATGTGTTCTACTTGTTCCGACGTGGAACGGTTTCTTACAAAAAATTTTCGATAGCGACTAAAACTTGCCCCATTTACACCTGTATTACTGATGTTACTATTATAGTCAGAATTGATGAACGCGTTACTGCCACTGCTAATGCCTTCGCCGGCAGTCGTGAAACATAAATTCTTTGGGCGATCTTGAACACCGGATCGGCTCTCTCTGGGCATTGGAGAGCCACGTTGCGGCAGCGGATTGTTGTGATCCTCACGGTCAGGATGCGGTCTAATCAAATTTCGCCTATTGCGAGACGTCTTGTCGCTATGGTTCGAAACGTTACAAGCCGATAATTTTTGATTGTCAAGTAGATCCGAATTGTTACGGTTAATGTTGCTCTTGTTACTGATTTGATTTCTGCTGCCACCAGCACAAGTAGGTCTTTGGGTTGATGGTGCGTTAAGTAATGATGATGACGGGCGTGTTACCGGGACAGAGCCTGTCGTTGCCTGCTGCTGCAGTGGGTGATGGCGGTCGTGATTGAACTGACGTGGTCGTATGGTTGCGCGTATATCTTGCGGCTGTTCCTCTTGCTCCCCTCTAAACGACGTCGTTTTCTTTTGTGTTTAATTTTCACAATCATTGGTTTGGATTTTGGTTAAAATTTTAACATTTTCTCTGTATTTCCGAAACAAAAATATAAAAAAATCACTCCAAATTTTATTTCTTTGTATTTATTTTCCTCCGTAGTCTTACTGATCTCCTCTCTTCCACTGTACTTGCCGCCCCCCTGAGTATGTTCGTAAATTCTGCTATCAAGGCTTGTGCAAATTCCTCTTGGTTGAGATTAACTTCTTGACGTGCTTGTTCGTTTTTTTTTATTATTCTTTATTGTTTGTCTTCACTGATATGACCTCAATCTGCTTCTTCTGCTTCTTCTACAGTTCGTCCGTGTGAGGAAACGTTCTGTATTGTTCAGCTGTATTGTTGGTCTCTTCTCTTTGTTAAATTTCAATAAAAGACTTAAACAACGAATGATGTCGTTTTTTTTATTTTTCACAAAAAATAATTTTTTTCCTTTCGCAACTTCTTGAAAATTTTATTCTTCTCAAAGACAAATAATTTTGTTTTGACAATAAACTCAAAGACGGAGAAAAGGAAAGTTGTGTTGGACCAGAAAAAATGAATAAAATGATAGTGTTTGTGATGGAATTGGGAAGGAATAAAAGCAAAAAGAGCATTTGTAAATGGGCACGGGACGCGGAACAATTCCAGCGACATGAAAACATTGATTTTAAAATGAGAACTTTAAGAACTGTCATGCATGTTGTGAAGAATTTCTACTTACCGGAAAGGCACGTATACGCATCTTTCCCTCCTTTTTGGGAGCAGTGCTCCTGATATTCATGGTTTGCAAACGACGGCAATTTTCCTCCACTTTCTTTTCTCACTTAAACACAACTTGGATAGCACGACGATTTAAGCAACAGGCAAAAAATCAAACGATCCGTACGACCAAAGAAACAAAGTATTCTCCACGTTATAGTGTACTTTCCAATTTTTCGAGTTGACAATATTTTCACAGCTAACGCTATTACTATTAGTAGGATAATTTACGATTATCGATGCTTTTATTATTATTTCCACACAATCCTTACAATCCTTATCTCAGAATTTGCAGTTGTAATCCTGAAGAGAGTGGACATAAATAATCTTAATATTGTAGCTGCCCTGCTCTTTGGTTGTTATGCTTTTGTTAGTTTATTATATTTCTTGAACATTAACTGAATAAAGGAATTTTCACATATCTGTAAACACAAACGAACACACAAAATGTCATCGCTTCACTTTTTTCCTTTATTCTGCAGCAATTGCAATGTTATTTGTAATCTTTTAAAACTTTTCTTTAATTGCCTATTATTTTTAGGATGTTCGGAACCATAACTCGTCAAAATAAAAATAAATTATTTGAAGAGCCTTTTTAACATTTTTTTCGCTAATCGCAAAACAAAAGGAACAAAATTAGAATAAAAACCAAAGATGCCAACTTAAAATAATTACCACGATTTATTGCAAAAGGGCGCTTTATGTTTAGAGCTAAAATAAATTGGGCAAATGATATCTAAAAAAAAAAAAATTCAGAGGATTACAGTTGAAGTAGAAGAACTGTTTTTTAAATTACACACCAAATGACAATTTTTTTTGTTGGCGACAAATTTTCACTATTTATTCACAAACAGGATCAAATATATCGAAAAGTTTAGGCTTGTCTTGTCCTTTTGTGACACTGATGATTGAACTTTTTTAAAGAAACTAGTGCAAATACCTATGTCTTACTCTTTTCTTTTTTAGAAAGTACGTGATTTTTTAGTAGAAATTTCTTTCGATATTGTTCTGTCGTTTTCACAATTGTTTATATTTTCATTTCACTTAATAACACTGTCTCGTACGTATAAAGTGAATATGGATTTTATATCATCATACCCACCCACACTATTCACATTTAAATGCACAACACTAGGGAAAACTGAATAAATCAGTTGTTAAAACAAACCAATTGATTAGTACTTAATTTTTTAATGAAAAATTCACAGTCACAACTACCGCAAAAGACTCTGCTTTACAAATCATATTTTTTGTAAATAAGGCTGCCAGATCTAAACGAAATTCATTTGGTTTACTTCCTAATTTAGGGCTACGAATGTTGAATTAAGAGATATGTTTGAAAAATTTTGGACTAGTGACAAAAGAATTCTTAGTAATTATTTACTTAATCGCGTTAATGCGTGGTACATGAGTCCGTAGTTATCTTAAGATTAAACAGTTATTCCACATTTCATATATAGTTGGGTTTGTAAAAGTAACCAAATTAAACTATACTACTCGTTCTAGAGTAAATTTGATTAAACGATTTGTTAAATTTTGTACAAAAAAAGTTAATATGACTCGATCCATCCTATTTTCATTTTTCAATTTGACGTATTCTCTTAAGTACCGTGCAGCGTAAAATTTTCTAAAATATATTACAAATAAAAAAGAATGTGTTGTTAGACGGTCAAGCTCCACAAGCTTTGCAGTAAAACAATTTTTGGATAGATAATCTTTGAAATTGGTTGCAAAGTTCAAACGCGGTAGCTAAAATCGTCACATAATATTAATTTAGCTTTAAACTAATATTTTTAAATTGCATGAAGTATATAATTTGCCAAAATATATTTATTTATAAAATATACTAAGCTTTGCGCTCGCTTAGTTCTCGTAAGACGTTCCGGTTTGTTATTTTCGCATAGGCGATGTCATGTAAATAATTTTGATAAAAATTTGGCGTGCGGTGTTGTGTATGTATAATGCCCTACAGATTTAATGAAACCTAAGCGTTTAAGTGGAGTTCACAATAAAGGAATAAAAATTAGAAAGTGAAAATAGCCGATAGGAGAAACGTTACCAACAACATGCATTTTAACAGAGTTGAATGTGTTTTTTCTGTTAAGCTGGACGTATAGCCTGCTGTTTTAAATTATTTTAAATTATTTGACTTTATCAACGGTTAACTTTATCGAAACTGTCTAGAACTTTCTCACTGTCAGCTGTTGAAAATTTTCATACAAGCCGTTCAGATTTTATTTCGCCATCTTCATCTTCACACCGGTTATAATACATAAGCGTAATTTCGCTAAAATTTCGAAACGAATGCAATTGTCCCAGATGCTTTTGTTAATTTAATTTAATTTGGTCCGTTGGTCCGTTAGATAATGTTAAGTTTTTGTTTTGCCGACGGCTTCTGTTAATTTGGTCCGTTAGATAACACAGCTGAATAATTAAGTTGTTAGTTGGGCATTTAACCATTATTTATTATAAGCGACTCTGTGCTTTGCCTTTCAACAGGGAAATAAAATTAGTGCGTATAAAATTTGGTGCCTTTAAAGAAAATAGCGTATATATGTTCTCAATAATTTGTAAAAATGCCAACCATCTGAGAATAAGCGTCCACACATTTGTTTACATTTTTCAATAATTTTGCATGTATTTGTATAAAATTGGTGCCTTTAAAGAATAAGCATATAAAATTTGGTGCCTTTAAAGAAAATTTAGCGAGGGCTTTGTTTAATTTGATAATAAAAATTATGGCGGTCTACTTTTAGGCTAACTTGTAAAATTATTATTCTTATTATTATAAATTTAGCCAGAGAATAAATTTTTTTCTCTTAAAGCGCTAGCATCAAAAATACTCTACTGCATTTGAGATTTGAACCCACGACATTGAGTTGAAAATCTTGCCATTCAGGCGGATAACTTGTAAAATTAAATAAGTTTAGTTCGCGTATTTCCAAAACACTATATATACATCTAGAGGAGATGATAGAAGCTTAAAAATATTTAGTTAAGATCTAGTCATTTATTAATTGCGTGGGCAAATCGTATCGCGACGTAGAAAATCTATTGTACTAACAAGACGTAGTTAAAGTAGGCTTTGAATTTTGATGGAAAGCGCCACGAACTTTCTACATGATGCAGCACTTCATACTGTTGCTTATTCGCAGGTAGACTAACCCTTAAAGCTTTTTTTACTTTGCACTGCAGAAAATATAAAAGCTCTTTCCCTGTTAAAGGAAGACTATTTAATAAAAGTACATCAAAAGACCTGGAGAGACCTGGCGTTCGATTTTCGCATATTTTTGAATATTCCTTGTTAATTCTTCGATATATGCGTGCAAGTGGTTTGAATAAATATATAATCACATATATAGAAATGTATAGAAAAAGAGCATTTACCTCCCCTTGAACGCATCCTGACCAGTTTTAGTAAATTTTTAGAGACCTGGCATTCGATTTTCGCATATTTTTGAATATTTCCTGTTAATTTTTCGATATATTCGTACAAGTGGTTTTATATAATATATTAGTTTGGGGAAAAAGAAATCCATTATTTTTATATGAACTTCAGGACTTTATTTAACATGCTTCGGATTGTCCGATTTGGGTCAAATATGCACCGTTTTGTTGTATGATTTGTTGCCATTTTAAAGGTAACTTCAAAATGCCTCTCTCATAGAAGTCCTGGTCTCTATTTGCAAAAAACTCTAGTAGTCGATTTTCACAATCCTCCCTAGATTCCAATTTTTTATCATTAAAGAAATTTTGCAATGCAAGAAAAAGATGATAATCGCTTGGTGCCAAGTCCGGACTGTATGGCGGATGCATTAAAACTTCCCAACCAAGCTCCCGAAGTTTCTGGCGAGTCACTGCAGATGTGTGTGGCCTAGCGTTGTCCTGGTGGAACACGACACCTCCCCTGTTGGCCAATTCTGGCCGTTTCTGGTCAATCACTATCTTCAAACGGTCCAGTTGTTTACAGTAGAGATCAGAATTTAGCGTTTGGCCGTATGGAAGCAACTCATAATAAATAATCCCCTTCCAGTCCCACCAAATGCATAGCAAAACCTTCCTGGCCGTTTGAGGTGCTTCACCACTCTTTGACCACGATCGTTTTCGCACAGGGTTATCGTATGTGATCCATTTCTCATCTCCAGTCACCATCCGTTTAAGAAATGGGTCTATCTCATTCCGTTTGGTCAAGGCTTCGCAGATGGAAATTCGATCCATCATGTTTTTTTCTGTTAATTGGTGTGGCACCCAAACACCGAGCTTCTTTTTGAATTCAGCTTTGCGTAAATGGTTTAAAACTGTTTTATGGTCGATTTTTAGCTCCTGGGCGATGTTACGACTGCTAACATGCCGGTCAACTTCGATCATTTCTCCGATTTTATCGACATTTTCGATGACCGGCCTACCTGTGCGAGGTGCATCTTTAACATCAAAAATTCCTGAACGGAATCTACGAAACCAAAATTGCACATAATTGGCTGTTATTTTAGCCGCCTGGCTTGCATTTTCGCCTTCGTCAAAGAAAAACTGTAAAATGTACCGAATTTTCTCTTTGTTCACTTCCATTTTTAACACGCTATAACTCACAACTGAATGCACCAAACAAAAAACAGCAAAACAATTTTTTTTACTGCGAAATGTCACCTTTCCAACCAGCATAAATCTGAAATTGTTTGATCGATACTTTACGAGAAATCTATCAGTGCAGCCATCTACCGAAAAAATAATGAATTTCTTTTTCCCCAAACTAATATATACGGATATATAGAGGTACCTGTGCAAAAGTGGGAAACATAAGCCACGCCCAGCCCATGTTGTATAACCTCAATGCTTAGGTCTCGTTTTTGTTTAGTTTTTTAATCTTTTCTTCAACATAAACGTAGCAGATGTAAAAGCTTCGGTCATACTCGTCTTAAATTTTCTTACTAGTTTCGTATATATATATATATATATATATATAGTCCTACAAATTGATTCTTGATATTGGCGACTTATTGGCGTTAGATCCATCTATTATTAGGC